AATAACCGGGGCTTGATATTTATACAGGATTTAAACATGAATCCTACTTGATCACGATTCACTACAAATTTAGGTACGAAGGAAAACATTCCTAATTTAAGATAACTTGGACTCTAATCTTTCCCTTTTTGTAGAGTCCACCATGTTCTATCCTGGCACCGATCATAGCCTTTGTCGTTATCTGCTGGCGCTATCTAAAGAAAGCCGATTCTAGTTTCTGCATTTGAATCAGCTAGTTCCAATCCGCACGCAATTGATTCCTTGATGACATGGTCTTGGGAGCTTTTGAGTCCCTGCGACTCTCTTTCCAAATTTCAGTGTAAACAATTATCTTTTGTCTAGTACATGGGTTGTTGCTTGCCAGGTCGATGTGATAAAGCACATGTTATATCAGCCAATTCTTCGTGGAAGGATAGGCAAATAGGCATATGCACTAATTGAATATGACTTGACTTTTGAACCATTAAAAACATTAAAAGGTCAAGTTTTTGCTGATTTTATTGTTGAGCATGGTATTGATCTAGATGATGATATCAATTACCTTACTTTTCCCCCATTATTTTGATGGGTCGGTTTGTAAAGATGGCCAAGGTGTTGGTATTATTCTTGTTTCTCCCAATGGTGCTAAAATTGGAATGTCAAGCATATTAGATTTCTATTGTACCAATAATCAAACCGAATATGAAACCCTCTTATTCAATTGAATCATGTTGCATTCCATGGAGGTAAAATATGTTGAAGCCTATGGTGATTCTTCACTAGTGGTACAACAAGTTGCTGGTGAATTTTAATGTTTAGAAGGATCACTAAGAACTTGCCTTGATATTATTGGCTATTTTGCTCAATTTCGAATTCAGCATATTCCGATGCATGAAAATCAAAAGGCCAACATGTTAGCTCAATAAGCATCTGGCAATGACGTCGGTGGGCGTAATTTTCATATTCAAGAACAGTCGATGCATGAAAATTTTAGTTTTTCCCGTGCAGGTACAGATCAGTCGGCTAAGCCGACTAACCAAGTCGGCTCACCGATTCCTTCTCTGTTGTAGCCAAGTCGACTAGGCCGACTGCCCTAGTTGGCCAAGCCGGCTCCTCCAAGTCGGCTAAGCCGACTGCCCTAGTCGGCTCAGCCGACTCCCCTATGGCCAGCCCGGTTACTTCACCCGAGAGGCTCCCAAATCGGCCCGACGTAACTTCTAGTGATGTTGGGGCTGATTTAGAAGATTGGAGGACTCCCTTATTGAGATATTTACTTGATCCAAGTGCTAGAATTGATAAAAGTGTTCGGTGGAGCGCTTTCAAATATGTGTTGCATAATAATGAGCTCTATCGAAGAACCACCGAAGATTTGTTGCTTAAGTGCTTGGGATAAGATCAAGTACAAGTGGCTATGGGAGAAGTCTATGAAAGCATTTGTGGTACGCATCAATCAAACCCAAAGATGAAGTGGTTATTGCGTAATGCCAGTTTCTATTGGCCTGGCCGATTGCTTTCGTTACTATAAAGGATGCGAAGAGTGCCAGAAGTTTGGAAATATTCAGCTTGTGTCTGCTGCTATGCTTCATCCTATCATCAATCCATGGCCTTTTCGTGGTTGGGGGTTAGACTTCAATGGCCAAATTCATCCCCCATCCTCAAAGGGACACCGATTTATGTTAGTTGCTACAGATTACTTTACTAAGTGGACCGAGGTAGATCCTTTGAAGAATATGACACACAAGGAGGTAATTGAGTTTACTACTGAGCATATTATCCATAGATTCGGCATCCCTCAAACATTAACTATAGATCAAGGGACATCATTTGTGTCTAAGGAGGTGAGGGAATTTGCCAAATTATATAAGATTAAGTTGCTCAATTCATCTCCATACTATGCTTAAGCTAATGGCCAGGCTGAGTCTAGTAATAAGACTTTGCTCAAGCTTATCAAAAAGAAGATTGAAGAAAATCCAAGGAGGTGGCATGAAGTTTTGTCTGAAGCTCTATGGGTGCATCGCATTTCGAGGCATGGTGCTACAAAAGTTACTCCTTTTGAGTTGGTATATGGTTAAGAGGCCGTGTTACCTGTTGAAGTGAATTTGGATGCATACAGGCTTGCTAAACAAAATAATTTATCTACTGTTGTGTATCATGACTTGATGATGGATAATATCGATGAGGTGACTGATGTGAGATTAAAAGCTCTCAAAGAAATAGAAAATTAGTGTGGAAAACCATACTTTCAATTGGATCAAAGAGCAATCAGTTTGGTAAGTGGTCATCAATTGGGAGGGTCCATACAAAGTGATCAAAATCATATTTGGTAATTCCTATCTGCTATAGACATTACAAGGTGAACGTCTCACCAGAGCAATAAACGGAGAGGTACTTGAAAAAGTACTTTCTAAGTGTTTGATAAGAAGCCTAAGTGCTCTCCAAGTAATGGCCAATACATGGTCATGTATACATCGCTCTTAGCCACTAAGCAGCCGATGAGATGGGTATCATTGTTGTTTAGTTTTTAAATAGTGTTTTCATATTCATACATCATTCACCTAAAAATAGGGGGCATATGTTGACAATCAAATTGGGCCCAAGCCAATTTAAATAGACCCATGATAGTTTTGGTCCAATCTAAGAAAACTCCATAAAGTGACATGATATTAATACCATATTGATTTCCCTATGGGATAAGACCACCCTTACCCCTTATAAAATAAGGGGTACATGGTCGATTGAGTTCCCATCTATCCAATCGTAAAAAACGCAACTATCAACTCCTTTTACCCTTTTTACTCCTTCTCCAACCCCTCATATTGTTCGGCACGTCTCTCGGCGAGATCTATCGGCATCCTAGGCGGCCTTGCTGGTCCTAGGAGATCCTCCACGTGCTCCTTTCCGACGGGTCTTCCCGGAAGTAGTTCGGGAGCTTTTTCAGCCAAGAACGGGCTCTACATCGGTCTTATCGGTCTCTAGATCGGTTTGGTCGATTACACTGTGTTATGTTCTTGCTACGTTGCAGGTTGTATGCAACCTCTTTAGGCGTCCAAGACCCTCGTTGGTGTGTTGATTTGATGTCATCTTCAACGTCAACAGATACCAACGGAAAATACTTGAATAGCGCTAGCCACACCGGTGGCCTTGGTGCGGCAGCAGTGCCACGTCATCCGGTCAGCGCGCGGCTGAACTAGCCACTGTATCAAGCCAATCGCGCCACTCCGTCTAGCGTGTCACATGCGTTTGGTCGCGTCAGCAAATTGACGTGGCCAAATGGGTTAGTTTTGGAATTAAAATTTCGGAGGAGCTCAAATTCACTTGTACCATCTCAGATTTTCTTCAATTCGAATTCCAATAGAGGAATAACAATAATACAAAAAGTCTGTTTAATTATATACTTGCCTAGTTTACATTGGAATTGCACATGGGCATTGCTACATCATTTTTTAGGTTTATTAAGAAACCGAAAGTTAAAACGTTGATGTGAACGATTGATATTTTTTTAGGGGAAATAATTTCCATTAAACATACGGAGCTGAATCGTCAGCAATTACAACCTGAATGTTTGTCGGAATGGAGGCCAAGAGATATTCCTCGTCCGGATCACACACACTACCAACGATAGCCAGTTCATGGGCCACTTTATTACAAGCACGAGGGCGCTGCTGGACACTCCTTGAAATGAAATTAAAAGCCAAAATACTACGAACCTCGTCGACCAAATTTGTGGCCGCACTGAATTCGAAAGCATTAGAGTAGACTGCTTGAACAACTTCCGCAGCATCTGTCTCAACGATGACATGCCCCACACCTGCGGCTTGGACCCCTTGGATCAGGCAATAAGCTCACCATGCAAAGCATTCATCGAGGTCTCAATTAGGATGATCATAAATCTATACCCGCTTCTCTTATAATCCGGCTTTTTTAGCTTCTTTTTTCAGTCGGAACAGTATTTTTCTCTCACAACAAATCAACCGAAACAGTGTTTTAATTTCTTTTTTCAGCGAAGTGAAGGGGCCATCCTACTTTTTTCCACCTCTTCCTAACTACCCAAACATTAAAAAAAATTCTTTCATCCCACTTATTTTACTTCTCAAACTGTACACACCCTCAGTGTCTCGCATGTAACCCAAGCTCATAACGCATGATCATACGAGTTAAAACAACTCATGTCTAGCGGTGATCGATACTACGAGTCCAATTCCAAGAAGTATTGAGTCGCACCCTTCGTATCTCATATGCTCATATATGACCCATATTCATACGAGTTATAACAAGTTAAATCTAGCGACGATACAAAATCTGATTCATATACGTATTAGGTTAGGTTTCGTTACAACGCGGGCACATTTGCTAGTATAAAAAAAAACTTGCCTTTGCCATATCAATTTTGGATATTCCTTTGTATTGCAAAGAATTAGGTACAATACACAGACACATTTGCTAGTATACAAAGAACTTGCCTTCGGCATATCAATTTTAGACATTCCTTTGTATTGCAATGAATTAGTGTTTTGTCCCTGAGGTGTGGATGGACATTCCTACGGTTCAAAATTGATACTATCATGGTACAAAAGTCATTTCCACTAAAACGAGAGTGTATATTGATAAATGACAGTTACCAGGATAAGGGGCATCTTTGGGTTCTTAAAACAAAAGAGAGATTCGAATTTTCTTTAACGTGTTGTATGTTCATCAACATGTTGTATGTTCATCTCTGAACCCTCAAACACTGCTGCACTGTACAAGCATCTTTCTATTCATGTCTTGGATGGACCTCCAAGTCTCAGTTTCCTATAAGATATGACAGTTCTCATATTGAAATATGGAACTATTATTATACATTTAGATTATTGATCATTAGTGATATAACCACACCAGATGCATAAATGTGCGAATTCCAACTCCTAGATGGCGCGGAAGCAGCGCCTTCTTTTCTAGTAATAATATAATATATACTGGCAGTCAGACCTTACAAAAACAAACCTACAAAAAACATGTATGACCATTTACCACTACGACATCTAGGCATGGCACTGGCGGCAAGGTTCCAGAACAATAAACTCGACTGTGGAGGGGACTTTACACTTAATGTACCTTTGGACAGCCAACAGTGCTTTTTGAGCTTCCACCACTGCCCCAGGGCGCAACATGCAGCATCTTCCAGATTTGTTCACGGAGCATCTCGGCAAACCTTGTGTGGTGTCCAATGTAAGGCACTCAAGTGACAGCGTCGACTCGACAATGTGACATATTAACTCAACCAAACTCTTGCCAGAAGAAAAGTTGTAAATCTGCACACGCCTGAGATTCTTGTGTCGGTGCTGTGGCATCATCCTCAGACCTGAAGGGTCGGCAAACACCGAGGGAAGCTCAACATGCGCCGGCATTATTACCTGTATAGGTTCAAAAACAGAACACAAGTTAACAGCTCCTCCACAGTAAACTACTTATATCTTTACAGGATGAGCAGTGATTACATTCAAGGAGAAAGTCTCCAAGCAAGGAGAGGCATAAAAAAAGGAAGCCAGAGAAAGATAATCATAAGCCACTCCACCAAGAGCAATACTCAAGAACCTGAGGTTGCAGAAATTGCCGGGCACCATTGGTGCATTGACCATCTGCCAAAAAAGTTCCAATTCAGTTATGTTCAAAAGTAAGACAATTGCAAATCGCAAAATATAGTTACATAAAAGCTCAAGAGCATATACCTCACTATGAGAATATATATTAAGACTTTCCAGATTTGACATGCTGGATGGCAGCTCAGTAAGAGCGTAAAATGCAGCACCATTGCATATGATGTCCAATTTTTTAATTTGCAGTGTTTCACCAAGTGCTAGCTGTACATGGAGGCCACCTCCAAATCTGAAACTGGAGAGATTTGGAGCTTTGCTCTCTATAACTTGCAGCTTTGTGCAAAATGTAACCCCAAGGTAGCTGAACTGCTGAAGACAGGGTATTTTCAAGCATTTTATTGTACTGCAGTGCCTGAGTTCCAACTGCTCTAAAGCCAATGAATTGGAAAGAAGACAGCTAAGCTCGTTGTCCTTGATATGCACCATATAAAGCTGTAGTCTTGTCAAGCTTCCCAAACAACCAATTTTGAAGGTGTGGTGGAAAATGCATGAGGCAAGATAGAGATACCTAAGTGAGTCTGCAGTTCCACCAGATAAAAGTTCACATGGGAAGTTGTAACTTCCATTCATAGATGGAAGGGTGATGGTCAGTTCTTCAATCCCTGGTTTAACAGCATGCTGAAGCCAACTGTCGAGGTGATCAAGATGACAACTGTCCTTGTTGTGAACAGAACTAACATGAACCTTGAGTTTCTTCACACCATTGCCTGAGTGGTGTTTCATAATGTCGTCAACTGTGCTAGTGAAATTTCTCCTTTTCCCCTCTTCTTCACATGTATTTTTATTTAAGCCCAATGATTCTTCGCTTAAGATTAGGTTGGGATGGCATCTCCAGGAATGAGCAAAAGCTCGAGACACGCAGGCAACTCGTGCAGCATCTTGCATAAGCATTAAGGAATGTATGTAACACCAGATGTCCTGCATAAACATGAGGAAAAAAATTATCACAGTACGTTGCATTAGGATGAAATCATCACATGTGTTTTGGGCACTACTATACAAATGTCCACCAAAAAGTTAGCTACAGGGATATAATAGATTTCATAACTGAAATTCCTACATAAAGCAAAATGCTAAGTTTAATGCATGATAGCAAACTGGACTGCCCAAACCTAGGCTCTCATATGTGCTTGTATTTTCTTTCAAAAACAAATATATCTCCAATTGTTCAACAATGATGTGATACTAGTGTCATCTGCCCATTTAATTTCTGAAAAATGGATGTAACAGGTGTAGATGCTTATTATGATGAATTGGTATGTGTTTCTTACGATGTTGCCTTATAACAAGCTAATATTGTTCACTTCTTTGCCAATTGCAAGGGCAAAAGACAACAGAAAACATCCCGTGTCAATCGGGTTCAGCAAAAACAAGTCCACATGACCACATGTATGTCATTGATGATGTGTGCCTTTAACTTCATAGGAATGAAGTAGAGGACTGCAATCAATGTATGTGCAGGAAATTTTAACAAGAAAATAATGGGTTTTTTCTATGGATTGCACAAATCTAAGCCTTTTGATTGAACTCAGCCATATGTGCAAATGCTTTTCAGAAAGAAAGAAAGAAACAATAATAGTTTGTCAGTGCTAGCTAACCATTATGAAACCCAATAGTGCATGAATTGCGACAGAGTAATAGACAGTATTGGTCACAAAGAATAATTCATGCCAACCAGGAACACAAAGCATAATATACTACCGACTAAATCAGATGTAGCAGTAATAATAAGACAAATATGCAACTTCTAGATAGGTAACAAATTATATTCTTTATTCAAATAGCGAATAAGCTCATGAAAAGGAGTTTTTCAACTGTCTTGGCACATATATACAGAACAAAAACAACAGTTACTAAAATGAGGACGCAATAAACAAAACAGACCATATATAGAATGATGACTATGTGAGCAGGAAATTACTGATGCAGATTCCACCATTGCCTGATACAGGGAGGCTATGCAGCACAGTTCATAACTAATTCTTTAAAGTTTACTACTAAATTAAATTGTCTCAACAGATATACAAAATAACTAACCACTAAGTCTGATTTCTACCAATTTACAAGTCCTACATTTGCAGCGTTAGTAATCTGAGCATGATCCGTCTTGGGGTTTGACAAGAGAAAGATGCAATAAGTGGAAAACCACAAGGTGACCATATACTTAATAGTATGTATTAAGCTTTGATCTTTACTCTTTAGACATTTAGGGGTGATATGATACAGCATCAGCAATCAGACTCAGGACAGTAGCAAGAGCTGCGCATAATACTATTACTACTAGATTGTTAATTTATCCTACACAGTATCAAGGTACACTTTCATACATAATGATACATGGGACAAATTTGGCAAATGCAGTGGAAGGGGCTCGCAACAAGCCAGGACATTGAGGACTCTAGCAAACATATACTGCAGGATAGTGAAATTATTATAGAACAACAGCCAAAGCCAAAGAAGCAGAATCAGGAACTCCAAAGGTCAACTTCTTAAGATGATAAAGGGATCTAAGATTCACAGCCAAGAGTTTAAGAGTTTCAGTAAATTCATGTTTGAAATTAAAAAAAGGGAGAGCTACTAATCCAGTAGGACCCCAAGGGACTGGCACTTCATAGATCATTTCATAAATTCATGTTCAGCACTAATTTGGAAGTTAAAGCAATGATAATGATAAGAAGAATCCAGCATATAGTCTTCCACAATTGCAATTTTATTGCATACCTCTGGAAGGTTTGGGCCTGAACACCCTGTAGGTTGACTGCTCGGAGCAAGTTCGTTCTGACAACAGGATGAACCATTTATTATTTTAGCCCGTGAATCAATCGATCCATCTGCAAAACATCATGCATAGTTATGAATGATATAGCATCAACCAAAGTATATAACAAGGTCAACAGTAGCAGTAGTAATGTATAGGCAAATCCAATTTGTTTCTCTTATCAAACTTCCTTTCTTATCAAACTTCCTTTTGTTTGGCACAAGACTTGATAATCATACCTCCTCTAGTAGGTAATTGTGAAAGAGCATAGATATTTTTACGAAGGATTGCAACTTCCCAAGGTTCAGCTTTGTTGAGCCCAGCAGAACAAAACTCTAGATAAGTAACAGCGAGAGGATCCTCGTCCCGAGCTGCCTTGATTTGGTCCCTCAGAAGGTTCTTCAAGCGTGTCCTAATTGCAACTAAAAAACTTCTTTTTTGAAGCGAATATCGCACTGGGCTTGGAAAACGGAACCGAGTTGAAGACAGCCTACCGAACGAGAAATTTTTCTCTTTTTTTTTTATAAGCGAATATCGCACTGGACTTGGAAAAACGGAACCGAGCTGGAGACAGGTTACTGAACGAGAAAAAAAAAGGGAAAAATCTTGCCATCCACCAAAATAAGGCTAGCTGAACGCTGAAAAAAGCACTAGCCACATTGCTCAGACGAAACTAAATCAATCAGCCGATGGACAGAGCTATTCAGATGGTATGAGAAGGAACTACTAAACAGCTGATGCACTAGGGGGTTTTTATCGTAAGGATGCAAAGGAACGGATCTTTGCGTGTACGGCGATATCGTAAATAAACACGGTAAAGCGAGGAGTTTCGACTTACCACGGACTTGGATTTGGCGACGCCGGCGCTGGCGCTGCTTCTTCATGAGCAGATTCAACTTTAGAATCCCCATGGCGCGATGACGCCTCGAATCGAGCCGGGAATTCAAGGCCAGACCCCTATATAGGCCCTCATTCCTCTCAATTTCGCCTCTCTCTGTTTTTCTATCTGCGTATTTATTCCCTTAATTTATTCGCAGCAAATCGTGAGGAGAGGGGACCGAGCGCGACGGGAGGAAAGAGAATAAGAAATCGCGTCGGAGCCGCCGGCCGAGGCCAACCTTCCGGCTTCCGCGAGGAAACTGAAATTTTCTGGCGGACGAGAAGGCATATAGGATACTCATGGGCTCACGGGCATCTCCATCCAATCTGAGGCTGAGGTTATGTTTAGGTGGATAGAACCGGTGATGAGTTAGAACTAAAAATTAGTTGATTAGTAATTAGCTAACTAGTGATTAGTTCAATCCTGTTTAAATCCATCGGCTAGCTGCTAACAAGCAACACTAATCTCCATACACAGACGGATTTATCCCTGATTGTTCTGTGTTCCAAAATAAAAGGTCATTAGAAACTATTATATCATACCGTACTAGCAACAGGTAAGACCAAACAAATAAAAAATTAATTTATGTCAAAAATAGGAAAAAAAAAAAAAACAATGGAGACGGCAGCTCCTCCTCTTGATCTCGCTGGACTGCGGAGGCCTCTCCAAGCTCCTATTCTCGATCTCGTTGGAATGCAGATCCTCTTTTTTTCTTTTTTTTACCACAGTAACTTTTAATATATATATATATATATAATATTAAAATACAGTACACCAGTATAGGAAAAGAATTTCCAAATTACAGAGCACAGATAAGTAAAAGCTATGGCTAAACTGTTTCTGTAGACATGGGTAATGTTTACGTCGAGGCGCGGGGCCATAGGGCCCATGAGAAGTGGCCACGATAGAAACATCCAGGGTCCTCGTTCTCGCACTCCAATAGCATAGCCAGCGCTTCCCTTGACTGTCTGATCGGCGTGTGTCTTCAAGGATAAATAGTCTTGAGTCATAGATAGGGTGGAGGCTTCATCGTGCTCAAAAAAAAAAGATCCACAGCCACCAATATCAAATTTGAGGACCTGCTTCAACTGATGTTGATGATCCTTTTCTCCCTTCCTGGACGTTCCCCTTCGCTCGTTCCTCATCGTCGTCTCCGCTCACCTCTGCGAGCCCCCTCCTTCCTCTAGAAAATGGAGATGACCTGCTGCAGTGTGCTCGCGCGCACGGGGATGGAGATGCTCGACCGGGCCATCGGCTGGCTGGCGTGGCGGGTTCCACACGGTCGTGCACCGGAGGAGAAACGCAACGGCGGCGGTGGGCGGAGCATGAGCGGATGCAGAAATAAGCGGATAGCGGATGCAGTTGCGTGAGGGCATACGGTGTCCTTTTTCCGGTCTGTAGAAAGTGTAGCCCTGATACCAAGGTGAAAGGTCCTTGTTGGTTTTGGTAATTGAGTAACAACCTAGGTGGACTAATTATGTTTATGTGAGATACACAGGTGATTAGTCCACAGGTACATGTGTATGAGCAACATATGCCATGGAGGTGAAAATGGCTTGGAGATGTTGCAAAGCTCACACATGTGATGATGAAGGAGCTTATTGCACATGAGACATGACATTGAGTCATGTGATCAAGGTGGAGAAGATCAAGACAAGACTTGGCTTGATGGACCAGTTGCAAGCGTGAAGGGCAAGTCAAAGGCTTTGGAGTGATGGACCGCGTGGACGGTGAAGCTTGAGCAAGACTTGGCGCCTGATGGACGATATAGCAACGGTGAAGAGCAAGTAGAGTCAAGATCGATGAACCAATATGATCATGTGATGATATGAAGTGGATCATATCATTGTTGATCGTGTTGGTGCATGTGTTGCATCGACATTGAAGGAGATGGAATGGAATGCATAAGGCAAAGGTATAACCTAGGGCATTTCATTTCACCGGTCATAGGTGTGTAGAGAAGTTTATGATCGGGTTTAGGATAGATGGCCATTACTATCAAGAGGGGCAAACTTATTTGCATATCGGTCATCTAGTGCCACTCGAGTGATCTAACTTTGTATTGTCGCTAGGATCGAGTGGCGTGGCAAGTTGAGTGGCTAACATCCTTTGGGAAATGATTGTGAAAATGCTAACACACATACACATGGTGGTGTACACTTGGTGGTGTTGGCACATTTACAAAGGAGGTGGTGTTTGCTTGCGAGTTGATATGGGTTTGGGTCCTCTCTCCCTCTGCCGCCGAGCTTATGGCGGGATTCAACGCTTTCGGGAAAATAGAATGCCTATTTTCTATTGCGCCGGATGCAAGTTCTTGTGGTTAGCACATTGGAGCAAGGGTGATGAAGTTAGAAGTGAAAACGAGTTAGTCGCGAAGATGTGGGCGTCCGTCAACCGACCGGACGCTGATCTCAATGCACCGGACGCCGGCAAAAAAGCCGACGATCCCGGAGGTGACCGGGCGCTGGCTGCGTCCGATCAAGTGTGACCGGACGCGTACCTTCCTGGAAACGACCGGACGCTGGGGGTTCAGCGTCAGGTCAGTTGAAAGCTGCTGCGTCCGGTCAAGTCAAGTGACCGTTGGAACCGGGACACGTGGTCGTCTGCGGCAACCGAACGCCGAGGTCCAGCGTCATTAACACACGGACCGAGCGCCCGGGTCGCCCGACCGCTGCCCAAAGTGAAGGGGTAACGGCTAGTTTAGCCCTTGGGGCTATAAATAGAAGTGGCCCTCGGCTATGGCTGGTGCTGAGCACCTCAAGGGACTTAGTGTCCATGCTTATGAGTGCTTGGGAGCCCTCCATCACACACATACTTGATAGCGATCATCCGATTATGTGAGTGAGCGATTCTAGTGCGATTGCATCATAAGGTTGCATCGAGTGGCACTAGGTGATCGAGTTGTGAGCCGGTGGTACTTGTTACTCTTGGAGGTTGCCACCTCCTAGACGGCTTGGTGGTGGTCTCCATCGAAGCGCGCAAGAAGCTTGTGCGGCGCTCCGGAGAAGTGCTTGTGAGGGGCATTGTGCTCGCCCCTGTGGGAGCCGTGAAGAGCAACTCTAGTAAAGCGTGTCATTGAGCTACCTCACTCAAGGGGTAGGTTCTTGCATGCGCCCGACGCATGCGGGCTTAGCGGGTGATGCTAATTAGCCACGAACCACCAAGTGAGCGGTCGACACAAACGGGGACTAGCGTGTTGGCAAACACGTGAACCTCGGGAGAAAAATCATCGTGTCAACCTTGTTCTTCCCGTTGGTTTGCATCCCCATTACACAAGCTTGCAATTACTTATATATATATATCTTAAGCTTGTGTAGTTGCTCTTGTAATTAGATAGCTTGTGTAGCTAGCTAATTACCTTCTTGCTTGTGTAGCATAGAAGTAGCTCCCTTGCGTGGCTAATTTGGTTTTAGTAACCTTGTTAGTCACATTGCTTAGTTTATGTAGCTAAGTATTTGCGCTCTCTAATTAGGCGTTGGTTGCCTTGTTATTGAGCATTGCTAGTGAGCTTAGTTAGCTTTGTGCTTTTACTTACTAGCATGTGTAGGAGCTCCCTTGTTATTTAAAGTACTAGTGGCATAGGTTTGTGTGACCTTGCTCCTAGAATTATTTAGGAGAGCTCTAGCTAGCCCGGCACCTTAGTTGCTTTATTAGTATCTTAGCAAGGTGCTAGTGAACATATATAGAGGGGTGTAGTCTTGGCTAGACCGATTGTTTTAATTCCGCATTTATATCGGTTAGCCGACGCGATTAATTTTAGAAAAGACTATTCACCCCCCCTCTAGTCCGTCATCTCGACCCTTCATAAGGTTTGATGGACTAGTGAGCTAAATGTCTAGCGAAAATGTAAATGGAACACACTGTAATGACAAATGAACCAACAGTCCTTTCATTGATCTTTGATAGGTATATATACATCCGTACGGGCGCCATGGATGTGCACGTAGGCACCGCTCCATAGAGTCGACGGTTCGAACAGAGAGAGAGAGAGAGGAGCGTGGGAACAGTTCCCACATGAGATCAACAATGTAGTTGTAACACACCCCCTTTGATCGAATCCATCTTGAGATCAATGTATAGCATTAATCCTCCAAAATGTCCTGTAGGATAAAAACGAGGAGAAATACTTGATAGATACTCTGTTAAAAACTCTTTCAAACCCAATAGAAAAATAAGAAGAAAGTGAAACATCATATAAAGATTATTGCCTCATTGTAAACTCATATGAGAAAACCTTTGTAGGAGAAAACTCATAGATAGTTTAGAGAACAATATATGTCAATGATATCTCCTTAAAAACCCCGATGGGAAAAATAGGAAATACGACATATGCTTATGCTAATATTGTCTCATTAAAAACTTTATATGAGAAGCCTTATGAGTAAAACTCATACAAAGAAAAGAGTGAAATATGATGCTTTGGACAGGGCAACATCTAGGAGATTTCCCCCCCTAAACCTTGCAAATCTCAAAGTCGTCACATACCAATTCCTTGAACACATTTCTAGAACGAGAAAGATGGTAAGGACTTGGTGAACAAATCAGTGAGGTTATCACATGATTTGGAAGATGTCTATTTCACCCATTTATTTTAACTCATGGGGATAATACAACTTAGGAGAAATATGCTTGGTTATGTTGCTCTTGATGTAGCCTGTCTCCATCTGTGTAACACAAGCAGCATTATCTTCATAGATAATAGTTGGTGAATCGTTGGCACCAATACCACATGATTGTTGCATGTGGTTGATCACTCTGTGAAGCCAAACACATTCACGTGAGGCCTCATATAGTGCAATTATTTCAGAGTGATTAGTTGAGGTAGACACCAGAGTCTATTTGGAAGACTTCCATGAAATGGTTGTTCCTCCATGTAAGAACACAAAGCATGTCTGGGATCGACCATTATGGGGATCAAATAAATAGCCGGCATCAGTGTTGTAGGATCTCTAGTAAGCCTAGAGGGGGGTGAATAGGCTTGTTAAAAACAAACTTAACCAAATGTCAAATTCACCCGCGGCACTGCCGCTC